TGAGCCTGGAGGAGATGGCATTCACTGGGGAATGGATTCCTGCTTCAAGTTACATACACTTTTTCATTAATCATTTAGGTTATAAAAGCAAACAGTTTCTAGGGTACTGATCTGTCATCCTTTGCTTCAGAAATGCTTGCTTCTTCCTTCATATATTTTCCCTGATTTCTTTTTTCCAATAGCAGCCCAGCTTCAGCAGCAGGGGTAGAAAGGCATGCCCCAGGTTAGGAATAGGAGTAATGGCAGGGTGAGGGGTCATGTGCTAGGAAGCAGTTGGCTGCAGCCAGCATTTCCTCTGCTTCTCTGAACAGGTAAGTGTCTTGTTTAAAGTTTCCTTTCCCACTCATCCAAGCAGATGGAGGAAAGAAATCAGGGTACTTTTTATTAATTTTTTTTTTTCCTGAGCTGTAGCATTAAGCCAGCAAACAGTGGCTACCTGCTCTTGCATTTCCTAAGACAGCTTGATAGAGACAGACTGGAAAAATATCAGGGTTAAGTATCAATACAAAGATGTTAAGCCCTGTATAGGCACAGATTCTTTGGCATCTTTGTGCCCAGAAGCAAAACTGCCAATATGTAGGTTGCCTTCACATTTTTCCAAGTCACTTTCAGAGCTGTTGCCTGCTTACACCTTGACAGGTGTGTAGCTCAGTGTCAAAGTTATCCACAGCCAGGTTAAGCCCTGAAGAAAACCTGAAGAATGTGATCCAAATGGTAAATTAGCAAAACAAAACAAGTCAAACAAACAAAACCCACCACCACCAAAACCAAAACCAAACAAACAAAAAAAAAAGAAAAAAAAAATTTGAGTATTCCTTTCTGAACAGCCTCAACTGACTATTCATTCACGTGAATAGGGCACTTAGGGCATGATTTCTGTTCTACCTTCAATCTCAGGGAGGCTCCTTGCCTGGACCAGCAGGTATGGGCTGTTTCAGAGGATGCTGTAAGCCCCACAGCAGCTGGCAGGGTAGGATAAGACTTCTTCCTGCTGTTCCTTTGTGTTTAGTATAACTTTCCTATAAAGCAGAGAGCTACTGTTGCTTGCAAACTTGCATCTATTTAGTCTTTTGTTATTAAAATTCTCCTTGCCATCTATGTATTTCTAATCCCCTTAAAATATGGCTGAGCTTTTGGTTGCTGTGATACCTACCCTTTGGCATGGAGGACCTGCTGCTCATCCTTCACAGCACACAGCTGTTTGCATTGGGCTCTTTGCTGCTGCTGCTCTGTGGTGTTCAGTGTCCTGCCCTAGTAATGCAGGGTATCACAAGTGGTGATTAGCTTATGCTGGGGAAGATGCTGGCTCTGAAAGGGAGATGGTGAATGCAATGTCCCGTGATTCCTAAGAGCTCTATATTTTCCATTTAAAGATACTTAAATGCCAGAAAGAGCATTACAGGCATGTGTTCAGGGAATTGACAGAATCAGGGGTTTGTAAGAACTTTTGTCCCCTTGTATTTAAAACCTGAGAAGAGGCGTGATGAGAAGAGGTGCGAGATGCCTGCTGCTGAGCTATAAAGGCTTCTTTGTGCTGAATCATCTGGCCTAAAAAGAGCTTTGGCTCTCTCCTGCTGAGTGGCCAGTGGTGCTGGTGGACCCCACGGAAACAGCTTTTGTTAGCCAAGATTAGCTGCAGTGAGAGGTGTCAGTCCTTTTGCTATAAGGCTGCAAAAGGCACTAAGGGATGAATTCGAATATTCTTCTTTTACTCTACCACGGAGTTTTCCACTTAAAGCTGCAGTTGTTTGGCTCTAGACCTGGGACAGAGTGCAAGTCGGTACAGGAGCAGCATGGACTTAATGTGAGTACATGTGGATATGGCATTGCAGGGTGTTGTGGAATAGAGGGGAGGATGCTGCATCTCTGAAGTCTATACTCAGATATAACTTTTTATTACCTTGATGACAGGATAAATTAGCTGTGGGATAAATGTTCATCCCAAAAAAGTAACCTCCCAACAAAAGCAGCCATCTTCCTCTCAACGTGCTCAGGCGTTCCTTGCTGTCATAGGCTTCCCACTTTGCTAGAACTTAGTCATGCCTCAGAAAGCTTTATGCAAGGGCAGGTTTTATTGGGATGGACCAGTTCAATAGCCTGTTTCTATCAGTGCCTGTAAGACCAGGCTTCCTGAATACTGCAGCACTCCAAAGAATCCAAAAGCCTAGGAAAAAAAGATAGTAAATTGCAGTACCCTCACATTTCCTTCACTTTAATGAAATTCAATGTGGTGCACTTACATTTGCTCCTTTGTTGTTTTCTCCAGGCAGTCTCAGGTAAATATTGGAGACTGAGTGCTTATATCGACAGCCCTTGTGGCTCTCCCATCTGGAGCTATATTTTTCAGAGGCAGGCCTGGTGTTCACCAGGATGTATCCCACCCAATGGGGCAGGTAAGGTCAGAAACATCTCCTGGTTTATTTAAAAAGTTGTGCTGGACATTTTTCTGAGTCTTGGCAAATACGGATGTACTTTGTATAAAGAATGTTTTCCACACCTGCTCATGAGGAGGATCTATGGCCCATAAATGGGAGCGGTGCCCAGAAGATGAGAGACTTCCTGCCCCAAGACTGGATGTACTCGAAGGATTGATGAGCAGCCACAATGTAGCAAACTCAACACAAGTCCCTCTAGGAGGGTGACTTTGTCCCCTCATAGGCAGGTGACTTCATTTTAAACCAGGACTGATTTGACTCAATCACGCTCATATTATCATACCTACATACTCACGAGATGGATGTATCCAAGCTGTCTGACCAACATGCACCAAGATGTGTGTGTCCCTCTTTGCAATGACTCTGAGGATGAGGGACAGTGCCCTCATGTCCACATCAAATTTCCTGTGTTTTTCTTAGATTGGTGACCTGTGCTAGCACTGGATGTGCCGTTTGTACCCTTTAGCTTCTGGTAGAAACTACACTGTCCATCCTGCTCCACCTCTGGGAGTTACCAGGATTTACTCCCAGCCCTTCATTTCCTGTGTCCAGAGCAGCAGCATGCTCTGCGTGTGCTGGCATCTTGGTGAGCTTCTCATCGAGGTCCTATCAGCATCTGTCACTCTTGTAGCATCCACTTACAGTCTCCTGCCTTTGGTTCCTTCTGGTGCCTCACATGCAGCCATTGCCATTCCTTCCCCACTCCTACCAATCTTCCCATTGCTATTACTATTAGGATATTCTTCTGTAATTAGAAGACAGTTAAATCTGTAAGAATCTTTTTTCTGAATGAATTTCTATAATAGATTTTTTTTGTGGGGGAATTCGCATTATGAACATTAAAATGCAGAAAATTGTGTACTTTTTTTTAAAATCAACTGCTTCAAGGGAGAAAATAAGAAATGTTTTTGAGAACAGCTTTCCACTATATGAGAAAGCAGAAGCTCCATTCCTCATTCTCACACATCTCTGTTTATTAACCCTAACTATTTTAGAAACAAAACATCTCTACATCTTTCATGTAAGCCAGGCTAACAGCATCCACATAACCGTCAATGCAAGTGCAGAAGCCACATAGAAAAGGGAAGTAAAAAGCTCTTTTTTATGCTTTATTCTAAGCTCCAGAGGCCTAAGAAAACTGCCTGAAACTCTTTACAGTTCATAGCACAAGGTAGACTTTATCTGAGTGTATGCAGACAACCTGGACTAGCCCTTTGGTGCATCCAACTCAAAATCTTTTTTCCAGCAGTGGCCATGACAGAATAGGCAAGAAAGACTGTAGGAATAAGACAGACACATAACTTCCTCTTTGTATTCTCTCAGTCTATAATAATTTTCAGCGTAGTTTATATGTGTTTAGCAAGTCTTAAAGGATTTTTCTCCCAGTAGTTTGTCCTTGAACCAAATTCTAGCATCTCCAACATTCATTGGCAAAAGCTCAATAGTGGACCTCTTGTTGCCTGAAGGGTTGCTCCTCTTATTTTAAACCTCATCCTCATCGTTTCTTTTGATGTTCCTGAGTTCTCCCAACATCCAGAAGAAGCACGACCATAGGTTATGCTCTACCTTTTGTAACCTGGTTTGGGTCTTCCTGAGACCCAGGAGTCAGCTCTGTTATGAAAGTGCATTGTGGGTGTCTGCAAAGGGATATCAAAATGAAAATCAGTATTGCTGGCAGCATAATTTATTTCTTTGGAAATAAATACTTCAGATGATTTAGTTATAAGGTTTTTTTTCTCCAAATACTGATTTTCACAATTATGCTAAGCTTTTGAGTATGTCTTTAGAGAGACTACAAATATTTTTAGCTCTAATTTCTGTCATATGGCATATCTCAAGTCTTGGCTTGTTTCTCCAGCAAATAACGTCTAGCACAGCATATTCATTTCCCACTCCACTGAGTGCATTTTGATGCTGATGTCCAGCAGGTGAGTGTTTCACTGGAACGTATTTACCAATCATTCTTTAAAGGGAAGGTATTTTTCTTCCTGGAGTTTTCAGACACTACATCTTATTCCGTGTTTGTTGCCTATAAACTTCTCACAGTCCAAGGAAAGATGTTTCTAAGGGAGCAATTGTTGATTTGGATGAACAGAAATTCTGAATGTGCATAAAACACTTCTCCAACCACAGTGTTCAGTCTGTGCAAGTCAAAACTGTTCTCACCCAGGGGTTTAAGTGATGGGTGCCAGGGAGAGCACTCCCCAAGCACACAAGGAGCGTGGCAAGGACAGGCTGCAGGCTCAGCTCTGTCTGGGGCAAGCTCACCAGAAGGGCTTGAGAAAAAAAGATGTTTATGTTGCACTTGTGTTTGGGGTGAGTGATGCCCCATGAGGACCCACAGTGGCAGCCTGTGACATCCCTTCAGTGCAGGGCTCCTCTGGTTTTTGACTGACCCTCTGCCAGGACCAGCTGGGCTCCATCTCTGTTGGAAGGGTGGTTGCTGTCACTCTAGGTCTGAAGGAAATTCCATGGAGAAGGAGAAATGTAAGACTTGGGGGGGACCTTGGTAATATGGTAGCAAAGGTAATAAGGAAGCAAAGACACCCTGACAGCTGGGTCTCGTTGATTTCCAACAGGTTGGCATTTATATTTTATTTATACATTTAACAGAAAACAAGTAATTAGCACTAAGGTCATAAACCAGCAGCAATATAACATGGATCATACTTGATGTAACACTTACTGTCAGAAAAACTGTACATAAGCCCACAAGACATGATGCATGGAGTAAGCATGAAAGGTTGCTCCCCAGGTACTGGTCCCAGGGAGCTCTCAAAACTCTGTCAGCAAATAATTTTTATGATTTAGTTGACATTCTTCCTTTCCCTGTAAACAATTTGATCTGGATGTAAACCGTCAGGAAATGCTGTGATGGGACAAATGCTCAGGGCTGCTCAAAGGCCATGCCAAGCTCTGCTCCAGGGGTGGTCAGGACTCGGAGCTATCTGCATGGATGCTTGTCACCAGAGCAGAAGGGTGCACAGCCACACAGCTCTGCTGGGCAGGGCTCTGTAGTGTCCCTCCCTAGGACACACAGTGGTGTCCAGGATGAGCACTTTCCTCCACACTTGTTTTTACGCTTGTTTTCACCATGCTTGAATAAAAACCTGTCTGTCCTGAGCAGGAGCAAACCTCCATGCAGGTGGCCACTCAATTCCTCTGTAGGTTGAGCTCTGCTGTGAAGGGCAGGTGGACTTCAAGCCCTTCTAGCGAAGCAGGGTGGAAAATCAGAAGTAGATCTATAGCAGCTTGTTTTATTTCTTTTGTACATGAAAACAAATAACTCAGTGCTGTGATGTCCTTGGGGTTAATATGAGGTTAATAGCAAAGCTGTATTACATTTTTCATCTTCCTTTCAATCTGTAGTTGATTTACTTTTTTAATTCACAAAACACAGGAGTGGCCTAGAGATACTCCTGGGACTGCAGTAGGAGTCAGATAGGGACAGTGAGGCTTCGTATATTATCTCCAGTTTTAAACGATTTTATCAATTCCAGATCTGGAAATACATATTATTTTAAAAGCATGGATCCTGGAGTGTAGAACCCCTCTTCTGCAGCCAATCTACTTATCAGGGAATGTGAAGTATGTCACACCTCAGATTACTTAGTGGACAATTGATCCCTTGAACTTTTAGACCACCTTCTATTTCCTCTAATATTAAGGCTCAGTCCAAGCTCATCACATTCAAAATAATTCCCATTAAACTGCTGTGAGTGTGCTCCTGTACAGCAGCAGGCAGCTGTGAGAAGGGCAGGTTGCCTTGCAGGTTTGCCTGAACAAGGAGCCTCCAACTGCTACAGCTGGGTGGCTGCATGGGAGCAGAGTTCCCTTCCCAACCTGTTCCCTTTCACTTGTGAAACACTTGAGTCCTCTGGGATCTGCAGAAACAGGATGTGCCTGATTTCCAGCATAGGGACTGCAAGAGAAACTGCTTGTGGGACACTGCATGGGTAACACCCCTAGTGGCATATTTAAAAGCCTCATCTTTGCTGCTAACTGGACCACTGCAGGAGACTCATATTTCCTTTCTTCATTTTTCCTTGACGCTAGGGCCATTAACTTCCCAACTGCTTTCTGTGTCAGTCCTAGCTTATACCAGCCTTGCCTTTCCTGGACCATCCCTTCCTTTCACTGGCACAAGTGTCTGTACAACAGTGACAGAACAGAACAGCCACCAGAACTGGGTTAAAACAAAGCTTTCAAGAAGAGAAAAAAAAATAAATTCATTTTAACACAAATCAGTTCCTCAGTCCTGTGCTTCCCATTGTCAGGGGTGAGTAAAAAAAATACAAAGGGAGACTAAAGAGCAAATGATGTGTGCAAGGACAACCTAAACTATAAATGGATGGATGTGATCAGTCTCAGTCACTCAGCTTTAGACAATATGAAAATCCTCTTTAAGTCTTCAGGTATTTTTGTAGCCTTAAATCACTGTCTCCTCTCTGAAACAAGCTCCAAAAATGGAGAGTGGCAACAGTGGCAGAAGCAAATGGGACCAGTACTGTGAGTAGGGGTATGGGGTGAGCAGCTCTTGCCCGAAAGACCAGCCTCGTTCCTGGCTCCCCGAGCCACCCAGGAGACCCTGGAGGACCGACATCTCATTTTATTTTCCTGATTCCTTGCAGCTTGTGGAGACTGAAGTGGGACTCTGCTCTGCTCAAGAGAGCGAGAGTTTAGAGGCTGTGCCAAGTAATCCTAGGAGATGTGTGTCCTGGCTCGCACACATTGCTCGGACTGGAGTAAGTTTATTCCACTTTGAATTTCTACCTTCAAGATGACTCCCCAGGGGGATGAATTCTGACCTGCAGCTCATAGGGACAGAAGAAGAAAGCTCCAGCAATGCCAACCAGCCCTTCACTCCCTATATTCTCCTTATGCATCATCCACTGTCTGGATTTCCAGTGGCCAAGGATGGTGGCTTTAGGCCCACTGCAGGTACATTTTAATCTTTGGTATCTGATTTTGACTCTTTGATTGGAAAACAAAAGTAAGTAGTAAGCTGTCACCTCCAAAGTGTCCTGGCCAAGTGGCCCAGGTTACCAATACTGCTAAGTATAGGTGCTGCTGCTGGGAGCAGCTCCTTGTGGGTCCTGGCAGCCAGCTAACCAGGTGTTGTTCTTTCTGAGATATATCACCAGACATTCCTGCTGGCATCAGGCTATGAAACACAATCGTGTGTTATCACTGACCAGAGTGTGGTAGGAAAGTCCCTTTTAAGGTGTGAGGTGTTCAAACCAATGCAGGGGGCTGGGAACAGCCCATAAACAACTTGACCTTCACTCCTGCACAGAGATCACACATCCAGGCTGCTCTTGGGTTTCTGAGGTGCTCTTGGTTGAACAGGTCTATGCAGTCCTCTCCTCAGACCAATTGGAAAATGACTGCAATGTTATTATAAAACCAAGGAATAACTGAATCTTCTGGAGAGGCAGAGTCCTACAGCTCCAAAAGCAATCTAAATTTTTTAAAGGTTCCAATAACTCTCAAAGCATAAAGAAACACAATAGAGATAAATGCAGGGGAAAGTTAGAGATGTACTGCAAGGCTGCCATTTTGGAGTATGAATTTACTTTTCAATTAAAAACAAGGTCTTGGAGTTTAGGGAGAATTTGCACTTAGTTCTGAATCCTGTGCCTTTGCTGCTCCTTTTATTTACAGAATAAGTTGCAGAAAACGGTTGTTATTTTAGACATGCATATTTTTTATCTGAGCATTACTGCCTACCAGAGACTTTGATTATTTTTTTTAATGTTGGCTAATTTTGTGTTTTGAGTAGGAAGTTTCAACTTCACACCAGTGCTACACATGCTCTTCTGCTATCCAGCAGTCTGGGCAAGATAAACCTGTAACCAAGATATGCCTCCACTAATCTCTATGGCTTTTAACAAGATTCTATTATTGCTCACCTTACTCTGGATTTTGAGAAGATGTGGGGAGTAATCTTTAAAATATCTGGGATGCAGGCAAGTGTCCCTATACATCCACCCAGTCCCAGTTTTTGGTTTTGCTTTTTAACTGCTGAACAAAGCAGGGAAGGCAGGGCCAAGTGAGCTGCCTGCAGTGATCTCTGCAGGGAGCCGGCCTCTTTCCCCCCCAAAATGCATTACCCACCTCTGCTCCTATACCAGATGCCTTCCTAAATCCTCAGTCCCCTCCCAACACTTCTCTAATGTTTGTCCTGTACCAGCCTAGAGCTCACAGGAGAGGGGACCCTCACGGGCCCCACCCCTTCTCACCCACACTTACGGTGGGAGTGCCCAGGCAGTGTCAAGGCAGGAAAAGTCTGTAAAAAGCAGCAGAATTAGCAAAGTCTTGCACATCAAAGCAAGTCCTAAAGCAGGCAAAGCAGCAGCCAGGAAAGGTAGCCACCCAGTCCCAACATCCCGCCTTGTCCATCTCTCCACCTTGGCACGAGGTGGAGGCAGTGGGCAGTGCCAGCACCCTCAGCCTGCTCCATGGCTCATCCACCGGGAGCAGTGAGGAGGATTAGCACTTGGTATCAACTTGGGCATCTGCCTGCCTGCCAGGCTTGCTCTTTAAAACAGGCTGTCAAGCACAGATAGCTGTTGAATCAATATGTGCCTGGTAGCTGTTGCTTCTGCCAGCACAGGGTGGGCTGAGCCATTGCACACCAGGAGGGATCCAGCAGAGAGGATGCCAGTGCTGACTCCTCAGTGCCCATATCAGATGACTGTGAGAAAGCAGTCAAAGAGGAAGACTTCAGAGATGGTGTCTCTGCCACTGCCAGTCTCCCCTGCCAGTGCCAAACATGCATGTTTGCCAAGCACAGAGGAGACTGGATACAGCATGGTTGGTCAGTTCTTTGAATGAGATGTGAAAGCAAGAGCCTCCTCCACGAGCCTTGACAAATCCTTTCCACGTCCTGAACAGACTATGAAAATCAGCTGACATCCAGATCACTGTCTCCTCTTCCACTGGGCAGCTTTTCATGCCCATCCCAAGGCTGCAAATTGCTGTGGATAATAGCTGTGACATTTATCCAGACCATGGCTGCTTACCCGTGCTTGCATGGAGGGCCTGGTGTTTGATGGTCCCGTTGCAGAGGTGATGTCTGGCTACTTGGAGCTCGTGTACTTGGTGACAGCCTTGGTGCCCTCAGAGACAGCATGCTTGGCCAGCTCTCCTGGGAGCAGCAGGCGCACGGCTGTCTGGATCTCCCGGGAGGTGATGGTAGAGCGTTTGTTGTAGTGGGCCAGGCGGGAGGCTTCTCCAGCAATGCGCTCAAAGATGTCATTGACGAAGGAGTTCATGATGCCCATGGCCTTGGAGGAGATGCCAGTGTCAGGATGAACCTGCTTCAGCACCTTGTAGACATAGATGGAGTAGCTCTCTTTCCTGCTTTTGTGCCGCTTCTTATCGCCCTTCTTCTGGGTCTTTGTCACAGCTTTCTTGGATCCCTTTTTGGGGGCTGAGGTTGACTTTGCTGGCTCTGGCATCCTGAGAAATCTTTCGTTGGGTGTCGGAGCTGCTTGGAGAAAACATGAAAAAAAAAGGAATTCTTTTTTGACCTTCTACAGAATAATTGTATTGAAAGATGAGAGAGTCTGAGTCAGAGACAAGCAATAGCTCTGAATCTGAGACAAATACCCCATGACCCTGTGCAAGCATTTTTGAACTGCCAGCAAGAACTGCTCTGGTTTGTATATGGCTTTCTGTTGTTCTCTGTTTAAATCCCTATAACACTGGCCTTGTCAATATCACTGAACACAGGTCTAGTTGGCATCTACTTGGTAAATATGAGATGGAGGGTGAACATCTTTCTGAGAAAAATATTGTAGTTCCAAAGAAAACACTGACTGCAGTATGGATTGAATTAAATCTTCCTGGAATGGGCCCAAGACTGTTGCAAAGTATCAGTAAAGCCACCTTTATATGAAACTGGTCAAAATAATTTTATGTGGTTATTACAATCTCTAATAAAACCTTTTTTCTTTGCATGTAGGTAGAAGTTTATTTTGAGGGTACTTGCATTTCTGTGGCTGTTGTTTGACACCATGTATTCCAGTGGAATACAAAAATAATACATTTTTAAGCTAGCTAGCTGAGCTATAGAAATCTCTCAGTATTCACATTAGCTAGCAAAAAATATCAGAGAGTAGAAAAGCTTAGAGGAGGTGTCAGGAATCACCTGGAAAAGAAACAGAAATGTGGATAGTAGTCAAACATCAAAGTGATTTTGGGCTACATGTTGATAGAAAAAATTGTTTCCTGCTATTTGGTTCTTTCTGCTTTTGAGCGAGCAGGTCTTCACCGGACAATTTACACCAAACGTGCCTGATCCTCCCTCTGAGTTTTTCTTCATTAGGCCACAACCTGCAGAGCCATGATCTGCAGATGACTGCTTTCATCCAGAAGTGCAGTAACAAAAAGGCAGTATGTAAACCATCAAAAAACTGTGTGCCTCCACTACATTACAAATTTACATGTGCTTTACTACATGGGGCAAGGGAATAACTGTGTTGCAACTTGGTAAGCTTCCAGCATCACCCCAAGGCTTGGGTTTTACTGCTCTGTGTCCCCTTTGAAGATGACCTAGGAATTATAGTCTGCTGGCCAAGAGAGACTAGTAGAAAAAAAAGAGTTTCCGAGCTGATGGCACACAGGAAAATGGATAGAAGTAAACAGGAGAGAGAAAGCTGGGATGTAACATATGGTCTGCATATTCAAGAGTATCAGACAGGGACCTAAATGGTGCCTGTGCCAAAGCAACGACTGCATGCTCAGCCCTGCCTCTCCTCCTTGGGAAGGAGTGAGACGCCCGGTTTCTCCACTGTTGCCTGCATTTGCATTTAAAACCAGATGAAACAGCATTGCTGCAACCAGTCTATGCAAAATTCCTGGTTGCTCCCTGTGTGAGCAGACATCTTTGATACCAAGGCTGGATTCACGTGCCCACATCCCAGTGGATACCAGCTCCTGCTTCCAAATCATGCAAGAAACTTCCGTGGCTCCAAATCAGTATGTGACATGATGCCTCCTGCACCGCTGGCTGCTCCGTGCCATAAGGCTGCCAGTGCTGGGCTCTGGCAGCCTCATGGTCGGGTGGGCACTGGGCAAGGGGCAATGCTGAACACTTGAAGTGGGGGTACACCCAGCTGCAAGGGCAGATTGGCATTGCTCAGGATGCCAGGGAGCAGGGAGGCAAGGCCTTCACCACAGCCCTCCAAAACGCCCTCCTGTCTAGAAGCCAAAGCTGGCATCAGTGTCCTTAGCACTGAGTTTCTGCTCCAGCAAAGCAGTGTCTTCTCCAAAGACATGATTTTCATGAGCTAAGTGTTTCACCGTGCCACCTCATCCCCTTTGTTAAATTCCCCATGCATTCCTCTCAGTGGTGGCATTTGGAAGGGCTAGTGCTGGACTGCCTCAAAAGTTCTGGACAGCCTTCAAAACTCTGACACCTTCCCCATTAAACATCACATTTTCTTCCTCTGGTGAAATCACAAATTTTCTTCCCTTTTTCCTCTATTTGGGAAGCCCTATTGGGAAAAGAAATCCCCTACTGCTCTGTTTGTAGACTTGAAAATATGTCTTTTCAACGGAAAGGCATTTTTCCAAGAGAAGGGATAACTATGCACATGCTTCTTTTTCTCTTAAGCTCATTTCCTGACAAAAACACAACTGAAAAATGCAAATGACTACTTCTTAGGCTTTTTGAAAAGTATGTCCTTCTAAAATATGCATTAATTCTTAAGTGCACTTGTACTGCAGCTTTTAAAAAATGAATATAGTGCCCAACAGTCACTAGAGTGATTTCATATGACTCCAGGAAAGGTCACACCTACAGGACACCTCAGTCCATTTGACTGGCTAACACCCACCCTTGGGCAGCACAGCCAGGATCTTACTCTTCTCCCATGTGTGGCCACAGTGATGCTGAAGTTCAGAAATCAGCACAAAAGCTTTGGTTTCCTTGCTTCTCTCTACCCATTTCTTTGCAGCTGACTGTTTAACAGGTAAATAATACCTGCTCTGAAAACAGATTGTATTCCTTTTGATTTATTTGGGCAGTGCCTACCACAAAGAGCCTGAGTGCACTTACCAGGTAATAAATAAATAATGTTATAAACGATCAGTGGTGACACCAACCCTTCCGTCAACAGTGTAACGCAACCCAGAGGCAGGTGCTGCTCTGGTATGAAGACAGAAGTAGTGGGATTATTCCCAAAGTGTCCATGTGGAGAGTTTGTTGAGGGAAACACTAAGTGATCTTTAAAAAAAACGGTTTCTTTTTATGAAAATAGTTGCATCTCTTTCTTTTCCCTTAAAAAAAAAGAAAAAACAAAGCAAAAAAACCCACAAAAAAACCCCAAACAAACAAACAAACAAAAACAAAACAAACAAAAAAACAAAGAAAGAGAGAGGGAGAGAGAGAAAGAAAGAATCTAGAATTATTAGGTTTTGTGTTAGGAAGTGCTGCCATCATGATTGACTTCTCTACTGTGAGGTTGACCAAGCACTGGCACAGGTTGCTCAGAGAGGTTGCAGGATATCAATCTTTGGAGATACTCAAAATCCAACTGGATGTGGCTCTGAGCAACTCACAGTCACTGACCCTGCTCTGAGCATGGACTGTGCAAGATGTTTGCCTGAAGCACCCCCAACCTCATAATTTCTGTGACTTGGAGACTGAAGATGGGCAGAACATGTTTTATGGGCTGTGTTCTCTTGATGGGTGTTTCCCATGGGATACTGCAGCCAGAGACTCCCATAAGGACCCCTAAGGAGGGCAGGTGATGCTCATATCCAGGTCCAAGCCACTGAGGTTCCTGGGACACGGTATGGCCATGCAAGAGAAGGCACTCAGAAGCATCATGGTGACATTTGGAAGGTTTCAGGTTTTTTAGGAAAATCTTTATGCACATTTTTACTTTATGGCTTTGTATGCTCTGAATTAATCAGTTATCAGTGCTGGCATTTTTTTCTTTCCTCAGAAAACCAACAACAAAACCAGTGACAGTAATTTTTCCAGCCAGTTCCAAGCAGCAGCCTGATTGCTGCCAGAAACCAGAGCAGTATGGAGTGACAGATACATCTTCCTTTGTGTTGACACCCCTTTCTTCAGCATCGTTAAAAGGAAAACGAACAGAAAAACATATTCAAAGATACAAATCACCACAGTCTCAGATCTGAAATGGAAAGGAGTCCTGCTGAGAAATCCCATGCTGTCTCTGTTTTCCTCAGGCCTGATATATAGTTGGAGAGAGACAGGCAGGGAAGCTCCTGCAGAATTTTTGTTCATTTTTTGTCTTGCTGCTGAGTCTGTAGGACCAATGCCAAGCTGGTGACAGTGGTGTGCATGGCTGACTATGTGTGGACTATTAGCTGGCCTTCTGGACCTGTCCTCATGCAGGGGTGGAAACAGCACTTGGATTTTTTTTCTTTCTTTGTCCTTTTGAAAGCTGTCCTTGCTGTGATGAGCTCTGGGGCATCTACTGTAAATTCCCATGCTCACCAGGCTGTTCCCTTACTGTAATTTCCTAATCAACCATAAAAGATACATTTCTAAAATGAACACTTTGTTCTTACGTTTTGGTGAAAAATTAAACATTTGTAGGAAAACCTCAAGCTCTCATCTTTTGGACATCTGATATTCTGGTATTTGCTAATCTTCTGATGTTCTATTTTAATCCTTGCTAGAGTAAATGAGAGCCAGTGGGCACCTGTCCCTTTAGTAGAAATGTCCAGTTTGTTCTGTTCAATTATTATCCCTTTCCTTAGTTTCTCCTATTGTATAAAAGAAAGAATACTTGGCTTTATTCCTACATGCCAAGAAATGTAAAGTGAAATTGGCTGATGCTTTTTTTTTACTCTCTCTGAAACACAAAGAAGGGCAATTAATTAGGAAATGTTTCCACCAAAAGGAAAAGGCTTTCCAACAGATTCATCTGCTCTGAAATGCTCGTAAGTTCTGGTAAATACAGTTTACAAATTACAAATGACTGTTATTGGAACAGCATATTTCTGCAAACTGCAAATCCCCTCCCTTATATAATGTGTAGCCATCTACCTGGAAGTTATTAAACAAGAATTTGCTCATCTGACAAGTATAATTATATAGTAATAGTTGAGAAAACAAGCAATATTTCGTGATTATTTGGTACCAAGCTCTGCCTTAGGTACTGAAGCAGATCAGAAGCGTGATGAGTCACCGAGAGACTTTGGGGATGCTGCCTCGTGGAAAAACTGATAGTCATATTTTGGACTGGAAAAAATTTTTTTCTTGCTATGTTGTCTAGCATGTGATCATGAGGTAACATTTGCTTTGAAGTAAAGCAGAGGAGAATTTCCTAGAATAAGGTAAACTGTTCTGAAATGCCCAATTCCAATGATGGAGGGGCACAGAGAACAGTTTTGGGATCCTAGGTCTCCTCCCAGGTAATCCAGTACCAATAATAAGGACCCACCTCCACTTCCACATGCTCTGCTACATTGTATATGATATGAATAATAATGTTATCATTTAAA